TGATGGATGGATATGTACGTACGTGTGTGCGTGTGCGTGTTTGTGTGTGTTTGCGAGTGAGAGTGCGTGTGCGTGCTTCGTTTGCCTTTGTTTTTGATGATGATTGAGATGGCGATGACGCTAGTGAGGCAGAAAGTTTGAAAAAATTTAACAATAATGATTTATACAATGTAAAAACTGAATGATCTTGATAATAAAACAATAAAAGCAACGACTTGATTGCCAATGTTAGCAGTGCAAACAGCAACACCAGACGTGTGGATACAACGCGGGCGCAAAAATAAAGTTTAAAAATAAACAACCACGAATTCCAATTCAAATCCAATTCATACGTAGCAGTTTAACATTAGCCCAAAGAAGAACATCGAAGCGTAACGTGCAGAGAGTGTCAGAGTCGGTCAAAGTCGGATATTTTCGCCGGAGTCAAAATTTTTTAATGGGCCGGATTCGGAGTGAGATTTTTTTTATCCGACTCCGATAAACAGGCCAACATGCATGCCGCAAACCACACACACCACCCGTGCCCACACATGCCACACTTACGCTCTTGTGTACTCTCCGAACCCGGCATCATCTTCCTCTTTCAAGTAATCATGTCCCCTCAACTTCTCCTTCTCATACACTGCAATGATTAATGAAAAGGACAAAGCGTGAATAATAATTAATGAACCTCACTTGTAATTTCATTACATGCACTAGCTGGAGTTACTAATTATAATTATAATTTTAAATAATAATTATTACATAAACTAAATTATAGTTTTATGAAATGAAACAGCTATACACAGAGATACAAAACATTTCATAAAAATACCTCCCTCACAAACAGATAAACACACACAGAGATACAAAACATTTCAAACAAACATCTGCACACACAGAAATACAAAACATCTCAAACAAACAGCTGCAAACACATACAAAACCTCCCTCACAAGCAGCCACACACAGACATACCCGGGTAGACACCTCCTCTGTTGCACCTGATGCAGCAGAGTAGGATGATGCAGATGAGGAGTAGGAGCAGCAGAAGGATCAACAGGAGTAGCAACAACCAGTTCAAACCTGCCGACTTACTCTGCATACCTCCTATTTTTTTTATGACAAAATGTTATAAATTAAATTTATTTCTTTATTAAATATGTAGAAAAACTAAAAAAGTGTTGTAGGGTACCACTCGGCATGTTTATCGAGCAACAAATTATTGTCATATATGTCAGTCACATGTACTATGTAAATCAGTGGTTGCGCAACTATGAACGTTTTTAACAAATTTTTTGCTTATTCGTCATTTTTTCACAATTTTCCTGTCCGTGAAAAGATTTAAGCTTGTTTTTTTTTAATTGAAAATTACAAGATTATTTTATCAATCTAATTACAGTTTTCTAAACCAAAAATTAGCATACATGCATATCAAGTTATTTTAATTATCTCATTGAGCTCAAGTTAACAAATTTATTCATAAAAAAAACCTGAAAAATTAAGTTTTAAATTCTCTTCACAAAATAATCCATCTAGTTATGAGACAAAATTAAATTCAGCTATCAGACCATAATACAAAAGGTAAAACATCGTAAAAAAATTTTGATTGGTTTAAAACAATAAAAGATCAAATTGGAAACAATAAAAATTCCTGAAGACATATTGGAAGAAAAAATTAAAAATTACTTTTTGTTTCCGGTATTACAACAATTTTTGTGGCGTTAGTTTTGGCTTCTTTGCCCCCTTTATTTTTGGCAACAATTCTTACATCATAAGTAGCTCCAGGCTTCAGATCGGTAACGTTAATCCAATTGTTTTCAGATTCTGGAATTGTCCTCTTCCACGTCCCCTTCTTTTTGCCTTTTTTCTGTCCTTTTTTTTTTGGAACTTTTGGAGTTGTTTTAGGATGAAGGATCCCTTTGTCATTGCCACCGCCTGGTCTTCCTGCCCCACCTGGTCTTCCAACACCCTCATCATCCGGCCTATAATTATCACTGCGGGGTCTATCTTGCCCATCTTGGGAACCAGGACCTGGTCCAACTACATGCGGCCCTAATTTTTCGTTTTCAACAAAATCGTCGTCATCTGTTCTTGGGTGTTCACGTCTTGGATGATCATGATCATCACTAGGAAAACGATCAACTGGACGTTTAATGTTCTCATCTTCTACTGGCTTTCTTGGTTTGTCACCAGGTTGTTTTTTAGGCCTTCCATCTCCACCGTCCCCATCAGGCCCTTCGGTGTCGCCAATTTTTCCAGCACCAGCCTGTTTTCCGTCGCTATCTTCAGGATTACCAGTTTCTTTATCATCTCCACCAGGTTTATCACTTGGGCGTTTCGGATCACTATCTCCACCGCCAGGACGACCATCAGAACCATCTTTTCCACTAGAACCATCTGGTTTACCACTATCGTCGGGTCTTCCAGTACCATCGGGTCCACTAGATCCATCGGGTTTACTATCACCATCGGATCTGGCAGTGCCATCGTCAGGTTTTTCAGTTTTGGTGCTAGGTTTTTTAGAGCCATCTGGTTTTTGACTTACAGGACCTCCAAAACCATCATCACCACCTTCATCATGAGTGTGCCTGCTATCATCCTCGTCGTCATTATCATCACTTTTATCGTCGTCTGAATCACTGCCTGGTTGTTTATCGTCTGGTCGGCCATCTTTTGTTGGACGACTATCTTTTGGAGGTTGTTGACCACCGGGACCAGAATAATCATCTTTACTTCTCTCAGGAGCATCTTTATCTCTATCCTTGGGACGATCATGAGGACGAGTCTCTGGTCCAACAGGTTTGTCTTCATCATCAGAATCTCTGTAGTCTTCAGAATCTAAATCGTCTATGGATCCGCTCGGTTTCTTAGTGGTTTTTATTTTATCAAAGCCGGATAATACACCTGTTGGCTTTTGGTCGTCTGGAGACTTTTCATGGTCATCATCGTTACCGCCGTCACTGTCGTCATCCTCATCGCCGTCGTCATCATCATCATAAGTGTCATCATCATCATCTTCTGAAGGTTTGCCTCCGCCTAATCCAGGACCTTGATCACTTGAAGATGCATCATCGTCTGCTTTGTCTGGATCTGTGGGAATTGGTGGGATAGTGATTAGCGTTCAGTCAATTTTTTGGAGTTTGTTATAAAATTAAAATGAAAATTCTTCTTTTTTGAAAACAATTACAACAACCATTTTCAATACAGTCGGATTGGTGATTTCAATGATGTTTTTTTAAAATACTTCCAAAACACAAAAGAGTCTTAAATTATTTTTAATCGTTGCTGAAATCAAATCATACTGTTGTATTGCATTAAATTATTTAATAACATGTAACCTGTTGGTTTGTATTCAACTGCAAATGTGCTGCCAGGATTTTGATTGGGATCATCAGGATCATCAGTGGGTGTCCAGGATACGTTGATGTAATCATCTCCTATTTCGATCGGTCCCATAATTGGCGGAGTGGGCGCTAGCGGTTAATTCGTTGAATTGAACTTCAATAAAGTGTTCAACTTTAATAAAGTGTTCCACTTCAATAAAGTGTTCAACCATTATTTTGAAGGACTTGAAATTTAAATTAAACTAACCCACCACAAATTGGAAACGACGTAGAAGAAAACAAATTAATTCATCATTTCAACTAACATTGAGTGAATAAAATAATTGAAAACTCTGGACTCATCAGTTAATTAACGTTGATAATTTAAAAAAAGAAATCGGTAAATAATTAGTTTATTAGTTAATAATAAACATTAGTTAAACCTGCTTCGGGCCTGGTACGATCCTCGATGAAGTTCTCGCTACCTCTGCCTGCCTTCGTCGTGCCGTAGACAGTAATCAGGTAGGGCTTGCCAGGCTTCAGGTCCATCAACTTTTTCTCCAACTTGTTCGTGTCGTTTATGAGCACCTCCTTTTTTGACTCCATTGATGGGGGAGCTGGTGGCAAGGATATCATCATCATCATTATCATCATTGCCAATAATAATATTACTACTACTTACTACTACTACTACTACTACTACTACTTTACTACTGCTACTACTTACTATGCTACTTACTATGCTACTTACTATGCTACTTACTCTTAATATTGTGTTCTATGTAGTATTACACTTCATTATTATTTTATATATATTGAATATATATTATTTGATTGATATATATTTTTCCTCTGAGCAGTGCCAAAAAGTGAATAGCATAGTGGTTTATATGATATCTTTCTGTTATCTTTCTAATAGCAAATACACGTAGCCAAATTTTCATAGAAAAACTCATAAATGGTTAATAATGTTTTGCTGCAAAACTTCACAGCTACTCTGCTGAGATTGCTGCATCTTTCTTTTAATATTACTGATTCTCGTCTAACTTGGTTTTCTTATCTCTGTAATCGTTTTTCTTCTGTTGTTGTCAATAATTCTACTTCTAACTCTTCTACTCTTACTTTCGGGGTACCTCAGGGTTCTATCCTTGGCCCTCTTCTATTTATACTCTATACTTCTGAACTACCTCGTATAATTAATAACTTTTCTTTCTCTAGTCAACTATATGCTGATGATTCTTACATTTATACTTTTCCTCCATCTAATCTCAATAGTGTTCTTCATAATTTATCTCTATGTCTTTCTTCAATTATCGCTTGGTCTGACTCTATGTGTCTTAAACTTAATCCTTCTAAGTTTGAATTAATTTGTTTTAATAAATCTAAACACTCTATTGCTATTCCTCCTATTATCTTACTTGATTCTAAAACTCTTTATGTCTCTCATAAGTTTCGTAGTCTAGGTTTTATCTTTGATTCTACTATGTCTCTCTCTTCTCAGATTAATAGTGTTGCTAGAAGCTCTTACATTCACTTACGTAGAATAAAAAAACTTTTGCCTTTTCTTGATGATCCTACTCTTCTCCTTCTTGTTACTTCGTTAGTCTTATCTAGGATTGATTATTGTAACTCGCTCTACTATGGTTTTCCTGACTCTATACTCTATCCTTTAAGTAAAGCTTTTAACTCTGCTGCTCGTCTAGTTGCTCGTGCCCTTTTCTTTTCCCATATATCTCCATATCTTGTTCTCTTGCACTGGCTACCTATAAAATATAGAATAATTTTTAAAATTTGCACGTTCATGTATAAGTCTCAATCTAAATTATTTCCTAAGTATTTATCAGATATATTAATTGAACCTAAACGCCCCGGTTTACGATCGTCTTCTCGCTTTTTCTTAACTCGTGTTAAACAATCTTTTGCTAAATCTGCTTTTGCTTTTACTGGTCCTTTTCTCTGGAACTCTCTACCTACTTCTCTGACTACTTCTCCATCACTTGCGAAGTTCAAAGCGGATCTCAAGACCCATCTGTTTTCAAAATTTATTGAGGAGCGCTGTTGATCGTCGCGGAAATAGCTAATTGATTGATTGATTGATTGATTGTTACTCCACCTTGCTTGTAATGTATTTCAAAACCAGTGAGATTTCCGTTTGAATCCTTGGGAGGACTCCACCTGATCTTCAGATGGTCAGAACCTCGCTCGACCACTTTTAGGTCTTCGACCGGTGATGGCACTACGGTTGTGGTTGTTTGTTGTTGTTAGTTGGTTGGTTGAGTGATTGGTTTGTTGGCTGGGTAGTTGGTTAGTTGGTTGGTAGTTTGTTGGTTGGATGGTTGGTTGATTGTTGTTTGTTAGGTGGTTGGTCGGTTGGTTGATTGGGTGATTGGTTGGGGGGTTGGTCGGTTGGTTGGGTCTTGGTTGGGTGGTTGGTCGGTTGGTTGGATGGTTAGTTGCGTGGTTAATAACAAGGTTGCTGTAGTTCAAAAAGAAAGTTTGTTCATTAGAAAAGCATTTATTAATAAATACTTTGTATCTAAATTGCGAATTGTTAAAAGATTCAGTTATTAAACAAGTAACTTTGCAATCATTTCAACAACATTCAAAAAGTTATTTTTAAATATCCTAAGAATGAGATAGAAAAACGAGAGATACAACATTCACTTAATCTTCTGACCTCCTTCTGGCGTCTTAAAGCTGATTGGATCACTGAGGTCACCAGCTCCTCCCCCGTTTACCACCATCACGGCAGCATTGATGGTGGCATCGGGCCAGAGATTGGTGACAGTACCATTGACCTTCTTGCCATTTCTTCCATTACCGCGGATGTTCCTGTTGTGTCGCTTCCTCTTGTGCACCTGCTGGCAGGGGATCCACGGTCTGACGCTCACGTAGACTGTTCTCACATCATTCGGGTGGTCTGTCCGCCAGTAGTGTATCTGCGGTGGAAGTTATTCAGAAGGCTGCTGTGTGCATTTTGCTGATTATTAAGAAGAATTTATTGGAAAACATTTCAGTACAATACGCCAAACGTTCTATAGGTTAGACTTGGTAACGGAATTTTTTTTGTAACATTTTGTTGCCTAATATTTAAATTGCATACATTTAAGAGATACGTATATATAGATGCTTGCTTGGATGGTGTTGCATTGTGTTCGAGTTGTCTTATCTCAATTGCATTAGTTATTTAAATTTCAGTACAGCTTCAAATTTAAATATTTCGAAATATTTAATCAGTCGGCGAGTTAGCTCAGATAGATAGAAATTAGACCGATTGTTAATGTTATTAGGTATGACGTCTATGTTATTGGGTAGATATTCGAGCTGCCCGAAACTCAACGACCATCAAAGACCAGGCGTGTGTGGTGCGGTGCTTGTGCGTTCATACACAGTGCAGGGTAGCAGGTTCCAACATAGGAATGAAATGCAAGCAGTTCTGCCTAGGTCAGATCTGAATATAAATATCTCAATAATGAAAGAGATAAAATTGTAATTATATAAAAAATGAATGTTGCGGTGAACTTTTTAGTTAATAAGCAATCGACACAACATTTTAAACATGCAACAACACAACACCATATCAACGACAACGTCAACACATCCAAGAATAACGATTCACCTTGTACCCTGTCAGATAGCCTTGTATCAGGCTGACGTCATCAACGACCGGGTCCCACTCGAAGGTGGCATTCTTCCAGGTGAGAGTGTGTTCCAGCAGTTTCAAGTTCTTTGGTACAACTTTTGGTTCTGCGAATGCCAATCCATCCACACATTATCAATATCATCCTCTATAATAACTACTGAACATAAACTGAACAACATTGAACCATACTCCACATACACAAAATTATTAATTCAAAATAATGGTAGAGTTAAAGTGAGAATTAATTTTTTTTAATTTATTGTTTATGAACATTGGTTTAATTCATTTTGAATGTACAATTGAATTAAAACGCAGAAGTATTCAATGGAGCGTGCACTGAGTATTGAATTAATATTTGAATGTTTCCTATCGTCATCATCATCTCCCTCTTCGTCATCATCTTCCTCTTTTTCATCATCACCATCATCATCACCATCATCATCATCACAACTTACTTCCTTGACCAGAGTACCCGATGATCTTCTTGACATTGTGGGCACTGCCCTTCTCATTGACGGCCAGCACGTAGATCTCGAAGGCTCTGTAGACCCCCACGTTCGGGACACTCAGGTTGTTGGCGTTCAAGTCGAATATCTGTATGTCGTCGTTGCGTTGTTGTGTGTGGCTGGTGTGGTAGCGTTGTTGTTCTTATGTTGTTGCTGTTGTTGTGTGTGGCTGATGTGGTCATCATCATCATTATCATCCTCTCCAGCACGAACCTGTTGTACGACTTCATCATCGCTGACGTCATCGTCATCATCATCATCATCGATCCCGTGACCTCGTAACCTTTTGTAGCTGACCTTGTAGTGGAAGTTGGGACCAGCCTGTTCTTCTCGTTTCATCGACTGATGACGATGATGATGATGATGACGATGATGACGATGATGATGATGATGACGATGATGATGATGATGACGATGATGACTAAAACAATAACGATTGCGATGATGATGGAATCGAATGGTGATGACGTGATGATGATGCTATTGTATGATGATATTTAGAAAACGGTTGAAATATTTTTTTCAACAAAACGAATAAATAAACAAACAAACATACATACAAACAAACATACAAACAAACATACATACAAACAAACATACATACATACATACAAACATACATAGATACATACAAACAAACATACATACATACAGACATAAAAACAAATAAACATACAGACAGACATACATACATACATACATACATACATACATACATACATACATACATACATACATACATACATACATACAAACAAACAAACAAACAAACAAACATACATCCCATTTAATGTATAGCTCGTTCTCATTCCTACTCTCAGTGCACACCTGTTAACAAATAATTCTTCATCAGTAAATTTAATATAATGGAATGAGGCTGTAGTCATTGATAATAACTTCATTAATTATTACTAAACTAATCTTAACCTCGCTAAACTATAAATAACTATTTCACAATATGACACTAAAATAACATTATAATATGTCTATATATATATATATATATATATATATTTTCATTTATTTAAAAATATTTATATAGCGCAAATTAAATACTTCAAAGGCGCTATCAAAAGAGAAACAAACAAAATATCTGTGCGTGATCAACATAAATTAAAATATTCAAATTTAATGTTTATCAACAGTTTTTTTTATTGTCTCATAAATTCTTCAACGCACCACTCCCCACATCCCCCACATCATCCCACACATCTGCCCCACATCTACTCACATTGTCGGGGTTCTTGAGGGGTACGGAGGCCTCCGTGTTGCAGTCACCCAGAGGGGTGAAGACACTTTTGGGGCTGACCCCGATCCTGTTGGTAGCCGTCATGTGGAAGGTGTAGTTGTTCCAGGGTTGAAGTTTGAACTTGGCAGAGTCCTTGTTCGCTGGGATGAGGCTGTGGTCCTGCTTGTGTTCGTGATAGACGCCAGGAAGGTCCCAGGAAGTGTTGCAGTAGATGGAGAAGCCTAGGATGTTCAATCAGTGGGTTTGAGGATTTGACGTCATCATCATCAACATTAACATCATCATTATCAGCATCATGGCATCATCACCATCGTCCTTAGTCTTCCTCACCCAGTAGAGGTTCGTTATTATCACTGCCGGGGAACCACCTGATGATGGCAGTGTAGTTCTTCTGACATTCCACAGTCACGTCCTCTGGCGGATTTGGCGGACCTTGACGACGATGATGATGATGAAAATGATGATGTTGATGATGATAAAAATGATGATAATGATGAAAAAGATGATGATAAAGATGATGATGATTATCATCATCATCATCATCACGATGCTTCACATATGATGATGATGCTGTTGTAATGGTTGATGATAATTACAACGTTAACCATAGTGAGGACCAATTTATTGGTGATGATGATGGTGTGGTGGTGATAGTAATGATAGCTGATTGTGATAACCAGTAAAATAAACAAATTTTTTTGGAAGTTAGAAATTATACAAAAAAGATAATAACATCATCACTACCACCACCACCATCATCACCATCACTACCACCACCATCATCATCATCATCACCTTTGACAACCAGGTCGTACTCCACAGAATCATTATCAATATCATTTTTCGCGACACATTTGTACAAGCCCTGATCAGACCTGATGATGATGATGGTGGTGGTGGTGGTGATGATGGTGATGATGTAGATGACGGTAATAATGATAAAAAGTATTTCAATGAAGATAATGATTATAATGGCAATGATGCGTATGATGGTGATAATGAAAATGATGAGGATGGTGATGATGAAAATGATGAGGATGGTGATGATGAAAATGATGAGGATGGTGATGATGACGACGATGATGATGATGTTGTTGTTGTTGTTAATAATTTTGTTTCAAATGCACAACAGCGTGCGATAAATTCTCTCGACTTTTTCAAAATGTTTTCCACAACAACAAAGTGTGATTTCCAAAATGAACTGGTGACACAACATGAGGCACTCATCATTACGGCTTCGTCACATCAACACCACCAACAACAACAACTCAACAACGTCAACAATATCAACGAACATCAGCAACAACATCAACAACAACAACATCAACAAAACAACAACAACAACATTAACAACAACAACAACAGACATCAACATTAACGTCAACAAAAACAACAACATTAACAACAACATTAACAACAGTAACAACAAATATCAACATCAACAACAACAGCGTAGACATACATTTGAACTTGGTTGAAGGTGAGCGACCTATCCCGACTGTCGAATATTCCCGGCTCTCCATCTCCAAACTCTATCATGACATCATCTCTGTACCACGTGACCTGTTTACGTCATCCATAATGACGATGATGATGACGATGATGAAGACGATGATGATGATGATGAAGACGACGATGATGACGATGACTTGTTAACATCATTGTCACGGTTCAAGGGTGGATGTTGAGCGCCGCATCATTTAATTATATTATTGCTGCGGGGTAGGACGGCGCGTCGTGTAAATAAAGGCCGGTCTCGTCAGACAGAAAGAAAGTTTATTTTATTGTAGAAATTAGTTGGTAGAGTTGGTTAATTTTATTGTAGAAAATTGGTTGGTAGAGTTGGTTAGTTTTATTGTAGAAAATTAGTTGGTAGAGTTGGCGTTTTTGTTGGTGAGAAATTGGACACGCAAACGTGGTTGGTGAAGTAGCTGTTGGTTGGTAAGGTATTATTGGGAGAAGTTTCATTTGTTGGTACGTGGGTGGTAGTTATTCAGTGGTTAGACGGGAGAGCTGGAAATACGGTACGGGGTTGTTACGAGCTCAACGACGACAAACGTAAGGTAGCGAACAAAGTAGTTATCTGTTGCGTTGGAGGGTGGCGAACGAAGTAGTTGCCTGTCAACGTAACAACAACGTTTGTCGGTTGGGTAAAGCACAGGTGGTGCAATATTGGTCCAGAAGACGGCTGGAACCGAAGGAGTCAACCCCATATAACACCAGTGTTCGAAGGATTCTACATTGTTGTCAAGTGAAGAAGTTGAAACAGTATCCGCTCGTACATGGTCACAGCACTGGCAGGAACAGGTCTGCACACTAACCTCAAACATTAACTTTTATTTTGGTTTTCTTTATTGACATTGTATATTTATTTGGTATAGTTTTCAGTTTACAGAATAAAATTTTTTTGATTTGTGTCTACGTCTCAACCTTGCCGCTAAGAACCCGCTACAATCATTCATGGTGACGACGATGATGATGACCGATAATGATAATGATAATGATGAAGGCAGTAGAATGATGACGATACTGGTGACCGTGATGATGACGATGATGATAATCTTGTTAATTCGTAATTATTGAGTTTATAAAACGACCCTGGCGAATGAAGTATATATGAACCAGCAATAGCGAACCAAAATGCCGATCAATATGCTCTTTGCCTAGGAATTAGGGACCATGAATGCTATTTTGAATGAACTTTAACACGGCATCCGCTTTTGGTTGCTGAACCATCTTTTTGACTTAATTTTTTATGTCATTGCGCTAATGTTTCGAATTTTTTCATCTGTCCTTAGGCAGTTGCCTCATCTCACCCTCAATCATATTCTCACTCGTTTCCTCCCATACACGTAGTAATCACTGACAAGCCCATCCTTGTTCTGATGTAATTATTATTATTATTATATTATCATTATTATTATTATTATTATTTTTATCATTATTAGTACAAATTGAAAAGTACAAAAATCTGAAACAACATTTAAATAATAACTTAATAAACTACTCTAACAGTTAACACATTTGAGATATCGCCAATTGGTTTTTATAATAACTTGAACCTATCTATTTTTAAAACTACATGGCCAAATTATTTTAATGTAAAATTAACTAATACTGTTATTAGCTCGACATATAGTATTTATTGCGAGGGAAACAATGCTTAATTAAATGTATCTTTCACTCCTATGCACTTGCAGCTTAATCGAGCCTAGGAGGATCGTACATTTCATTAAAACTCAATTTTTATTAAACTTCATTTCTTATTTCTTATTATTTTGAATTGTATTTTGTCGATTGAATAAATAAAATATGTTCACATTATTATCATTATTATTAATATCTATTATTATCTATCTTAATGTAATTTTTTTCTGGTGAAAATAAAAGATGTTAACATATTATTATTATTATTATGAAAAATTTATAAAGCGCCAATTAAAGAAGAAGAAAAAAGTCTCTCAAAAGCGCTATCGGTGGTTAGTTAACGAAATTAAAAATGACTGAAAAGCAACAATATTAAAAGTTGAAAAAAAAAATGAAGCGTCGGTCCTTCGAAAGTAACATCATCCTTTGGTCACTCTACTAATATTTACACCAACTTATCCAATCACAGAGCTATTTCAGGAAAGTATCATCGCATATAATCGGTCGTTAGCTCACATTTATGTTGCATCGCATCGTCAGATCATCTTCACATTATGCAATCACACCATGGCAGCACTTAACCACACATCTCCACACCACCATCATCATCACATAACCACATCTCCACACCACCATCATCATCACATAACCACATCATCACATCACTACATCATCACATAATCACATCACTACATCATCACATCACCACACACCCCATCATCATTTTGCCACGTCACATGACCACACTGCCACACCATAGCACCGAAGAAGCGCATCATCACATCCTCACCTTCAAATTTTTCTTCTCCTCCTCATCTGTGGTCACATTGCAGTGGAGCACAACAGGGTTGGACACGTTGGCCGTCAGCACAGGCTCTTGCGGTTTCGATACTTCGGTAGGTTCTATTCGGTAAAGTATGCCATCATTAGGTTGTTATTATTGTCATTGTTGCGATACTACCACTAATACAAAATACATTAATTAGAGTAGCACCAGAAACATAGCTACCTCAGAGGAGCCCAAGTTCAAAGGTCAGCCTCCTTTGCAAAGAAAGAGACTCTCTGCAATCGCTAATATTTCTCAGTTTGTAAATTTTGTTAGCAGGCCATTCTAAATTTGCTTGGAAACGCGGCTTGCGCTTTTGAATTTGGATTAAAAAATTTTGAAAAAACAGGTTGGAGATGGGTGTGCAAGGAGGAATTTTAATTGCGTCTACCTCGTGAAATGAGTTGCAGTTGCGTTGCAGTTTTTGAGATGGGTTGAGGACTGCAAATGTTTGCTTGGGTCGGGGACTGATTTCAATGAAAAAAGATAAATATAAAATATACAAATTTTGGAGATTTTGTGGATTCACTTTGAGTAATTGTTTAAAAAATAAGAAAAGTGCTGAAGTATGAGCGACAACAATCCATCAATAACAAAAAGCATCAACAACAACCACAACAACAACCGCAACAACAACAACAACAACAACCATAACAACAACCGCAACAACAACAATCGCAACAACAACAACAACAACAACCGCAACAACTCAAACTGACTTCTAACGAGCAATCTTCCAGTTGTTGAATCATTCCCGAACTTGTTCCTCGCATCACACGTGTACGATCCACTGTCCTCCGAACTGGCGTCCTACATTCCATCAACCAATCAAATGAAGGGTTGTGAATCGTTTGATCAATCAATGAGTGTTTTAATTGGTTTCTTGGTCAGCCAATTATTTAATCCATCCATCCATCCATCCATCCATCCATCTATCCATCCATCCATCCATCCATCTACCCACCAATCCATACATCCATCCATCCATCCATACATCCATCCATCCATCTACCCACTAATCCATACATCCATCCATTCATCCATCCATCCATCCATCCATCCATCCATCCATCCATCTACCCACCAATCCATCCATCCATCCATCCATCCATTCATCCATCTACAAACATAGATGAATAGATTCCCAGCCGGATCGATCTTGAACTTCTCCCCCTCCACCCTCCGTCCATCTTTGTACCACGTGATGATGGGTTTCGGTGCCCCGTAAGATTTGCACCTGAAGTGTGTGGCCACCACCAAGTGTGTATTGGTGGGAGGCAGATTAGTTCAAGTTTGGCGTGTGTGTGTGTCTGTGTGCGTGTGTGTGCACGCGTGTGTGTGTATGAACGTGTGAGTTTGTGTGAGAGAGTTTTTATTGAATATTTTGGATTAAAAACTGGGTCGAGTAGGAATATTTACAGCATTAAGTAATTTATCAGCGAACAGCAGCAAGCAGGAGCTCGTTGCGTAGGCAGACTTCGTAACAGCTGCGAAGAACAGCGGGGCCATTGTGCGAGGCTTTGACTCTCTGGCTGCATCTTTTTTTCCATGCAATAATTTGGAACGCTTTTTGTGCATGTACGGTTTGAAAAGGAACGAAGTGGTGCTTAGTTTTTGAATGCATCGAGTGAGATAACTACTGACGGGGCTGTGTGGCAGAAATGAGAACACTATAACAGAAATTAGTGAGAAAATTGGAAAAAAATGAAGTGAAATACAAAATAGAGGCAAAGGAGGGCCTACTTGATGACTGCGACCTTCCCCTCGGCCACCCTAGTCACGGGGTCAGGGTTCACCTTGAAGGAGGGCTGCTCAGCTGGCGTTTGTAATATGGTAATGATGATGACGATGGCGTTCTGATGATGAGACTTGGATAGTTAGAAAAATTACATCTAACGATTTTGGCGGTACGATTATGATGGTAGCTGTGATGTGATGGTGATGATGATGGTGGGGTGAGGAAGATAATGGAGACATTGTGGTGACGATTTGGCAACTGAGTGTTCAATTTACAACGGTTTGGAAATTATTATTATTTATTTTATTATTAATAATATTATTATTATTTTTATTATTATCTTTTGGATATTACTCGGAGGTTATACAACAAACACACAGTGTATAAATACACGTGGGTTAATGCATCGCACAATTTTGCATGTGATATGGCGGGGATCTCTTTGCATTTGAACCCGGGCACCGCATCAACGACGACACGCACCTTAACCATTGCACCATCGCTTGCCGAAGTAATTTATTCTGTATGCACACATCAGCCGACGTACGAAGACACGTAGAGGCACGCAGACAGACCCACCAGGGCAAGCATGCAAACATCACGTGACAACCAACTGACCGAATACGTTAATGTTAGCACTCTCCAGGATGTATCCATGCTTGTTGCTGGCGTTACACTGGACTACCTGCATGTACGTATGTATGTATGTGTGATATGTATGTATGTATGTATGTGTGTGTGTGTGTGTGTGTGTGTGTGTGTGTGTGTGTGTGTGTGTGTGTGTGTGTGTGTGTGTGTGTGTGTGTGTGTGTGTGTGTGCATGCATTTGACATTTCATCAAATCAAACAATGAAATCAGAAAAATGAAATCAATGAAAGGAAATGATCTGGAAATCGAAAAAGAAATCTGGACTTCTTGTACTGATCACCAGTGTCAATTTGTAATAATGATAAATGAGTAGCTTTAAACAAATAAAAAAATTCAAGGTACCCAAACATATTATAAAGAGTAATTCTAATATTTCAAAACTGTTCCGAAATATTAAACATAATTTAAAAAAAAAAGTTCAATATACCTAAACACAATATAATGTAGGTTATAGATATTTCAATACTTCAAAATTGTTTCGAAGTTTAAAATTTAATAACACTTTGACTAACTTCTAAATTTTGAATCTTATCTTATAGAAATACCACGCCAAAAGCACATACACTCACTCACGCGCACAAAAACACTCACGTAAACACACACCTGTTCATCCACACACACTCACACAAGCACAGCACTCATTCACACACACTCACACAAGCACAGCACTCATTCACACACACTCACACAAGCACAGCACTCATCCACACACACTCACACAAGCACAGCACTCATTCACACACACTCACACAAGCACAGCACTCATTCACACACACTCACACAAGCAACCACATTCGCACACACTTAGACACACACAATGCTTACATGAACATGCTTTCCCAGATAACTAGATGGTGGTGTCGGGATCTAAGTTTGTTAAAAAGTTACGTAGCTTCCTTTTAAAGAGTTGTATACTTTTGATTTCATTAAACTGAGGAGGAAGCAGTTCAGCCCAAATTTTTGGTCCAGTAAGTTTAATACTTGATGAAAATAATTTAATACGGGTTCTTTGTGTGTAAAAGAATTGGGTGTGTCTTGTATGAGCAGATAGAATAGAATTGCTTGTCGTGTAAAGGTGGTCTAGAGGAGTAGGAAGAAGTTTATTAATAAATTTGAAAACAAGTATGGCTGTGAAATAGTAATATATAAACCTTAATGGTAGAATATTGTTATTTGCAAAAAAGGGTTTAGTATGGGCAAAAGGATTAGTATTAAAGATAAGACGTATTGAACGTTTTTGAGAGAGCGTAATGTTGTATAAGTGACTTTTAGGACTGTTTCCCCATACAGTTAATGCATGCATGTATGTATGTATGTACGTTTTCGGAAAAATGGCGTCTAAAGGTAATTTGTCGGTGAATGACGTTTTATATTTTTTGATAAATAACTTAAATTTACTTCAAAATGACGTGTTTATTTCAAATGTTGTTGATTTTTACACTTCTGACGATATTACTACTGCATTAAAAACTTTAAAAAATGATTTAGAATTTGTTAAAAATGAAAAGTTTGCAAACGTAGAAAAAAATTCTGCGAAAAGCAATAAAAAAGAGTACAAAATGCTTGATATTGTTACAATTATCTTGCAATTAAACAAAAACAATTTATTGGAATCTCTACCAACCTACGTAAGTGTTAATTTTTCTAAAATTCCCAGTATGGATAATATATCAAATGTAAATTTCAATAAAATTAAAATGGAAATTAAAGAAATATTGTACAAGCAAGAGTTGTACATAGCGAAACTATTAGAAAATATGAATATAAACTATGTAAACTATCTTGCCAGCAAAGTTTCATCGAATTTATTAATATCTGGCACTAAAACATCACACTGTAATGAAGTTGAAAAAAGTATAGTGCCAAAGTTACTTGAAAAGTCAAGCGATTTAATTATTGACGTAAATAATCAAAATTTCAACCCTGGAAACCTGTGGTCAGATGCCGAGAAAACACCAGTGGATGATGGGTTTGGAGAGTACATTTCCAGAATAAAAAAGAGCCAGATAACAACTCATCTGAAGATAATAATGAAATGAAATCAAGTGGTACCACCGGTAACACGGGCAATGTTAACGCATCCATTCCAAAACCAATTTAAAAAATTATTGGCATCAAAGTAATCGACAACTGCAAACTTCAGGCCGAAAAGAACCTTATAAAAAAGACCGTTTTCTTGATGAGCAACGTAAAAAGATGTCACAGAAATGATGTCATAGATTTTCTTAAAACAAGTGGTATAAACGTCATCTCTTGTTTTCCGGTGATAAAACGTTCTAATCAGGAAATAAGCGATCCAGTAAACAAGGATGAGGAAGAATCAACGATGTTTCGTGTATGTGTCGAAAGTTGCGATGGACCGAAGATGAAGGACCCGGAAATTATGTTAAAACACATCATTGTACGCGAATGGCGTTTCGGGAAAAACACCGACAAAAACTCCGATACAACGAACAAACATGGCTGACAAAAATTTGTTAAATACTGTTAACGATACTCGCAGCAATCTCGTAGAAAAAACCTGCAGACTATATGACGATATAAATCAAATAAATGCTTTGTATAACTCCATCAGCGACAACGGAATTAACAACAATTTGTTTTTCAAGCTAATGCATTTAAACATTAGAAGTTTAGTTCACAAATCAGAAGACTTACTCGATTATTTAAACAACTTTTCTTTTAAATATAACATTATTGGTATAAGTGAAACGTGGCTGAATGATGACAATATCAAGTTAATAAATATTACTGGTTATGATTTTGTTGGTAAAAATCGGTCTGGTAAGCACGGTGGTGGAATCGGTTTGTATATTGATAAAGTATTACGTATAAAACAAGAAACGACATCAATAGCATTAGCAGCATAGAATTATTCAGCATAGAAATAACAAACGATTGTTCCAATAAAAATGCAATAATTGTAATAACATATCGGCCTCCTACCTATGACGCAAATATGTATCTTCAACAAATCGAACAGGTACTACAAATCATAAGTCTAGAGAACAAATTAGTTTATCTGATCGGTGACATGAACATCAATTTACTTGATGCTGATTCAAATGCCAGCAAATTCCAACTTCAACAATTATTAACATCATACAACCTATCAACTTTAATAACAACCCCAACAAGAATAAGTTTAAATAAAAATTCAGTCATTGATAACATTTTCATGAGCGAACCAAATGCAGTAGAATTATGTGGTACACAGGTATGTGATCTTTCGGACCACCTACCAATTTTTATAATTGTAAATATGAAGTCTAACAGAATCAAGAACCATTTTCTGAAGGAGAAATTATACTCGTTTACAAGTGAACGAATCAACAGACTGAACGAATATTTGATAAACATGGACTGGTCAAACGTTTTAAACTGTGAGGATGTAAATGTCAGGTTTCAACGATTCATAGAGATTTTTGTAAAGAACTTCAACGAATGCTGTCGTATTTCATCAGCAAGAAAAATTAAAAAAATATCACGTGATAAACCTTGGATAACTGATGATCTTAAAATAATGTTAAATAGAAAAACCAAACTGTATACAAAATATCTAAAAAATCCGAATATTGAAAATCTAATTGAATTAAAGTCAATTAGACAATCTTGCATCAAATTTAAAAATAAACTAAAAAAACAATACTACAGCGACATCATAGAAAAGAACATAAAAGATAACAGAAGAACGTGGTCGATTATTAAGAACATTATCAGCACAAATAAAATCACCAATACCGTCACATCAAACAGTGAAATTGTTCGTTCTCCTGCGGACGCCTTAAACGATTATTTCACCGGTATAGCTATAAAACTAGGTTCATCTTTCAACAATTCAACACTCTGGAAAAATCACCTCACTAATAATAAACTTCAAAACTAGTTCTTCTGTCTGTCGACCTCAAGCGATGAAATAATTGCAACAACCAGACTTCTCAAACCAAAAACAACCAGTGGATGGGATGGCATTCTTTTGAAAATAATAAAATCTACCATACATTCAACAGCTCACATTTTGAAATTCTTAATTAGCCTTTCTTTCAACTCCGGCGCATTCCCACAATGTTTCAAAGTCTCAAAAATTGTACCGATTAAAAAGGATGAGGGATGCAATGATTTAACTAATTTTCGACCCGTTGCTCTTTTATCAAATTTTTCGAAAATAATAGAAAAAATAATGTACAAAAGGCTAAATATTTTTTTCAAAAAAAATTCCATAATTAACGATTCACAATTTGGATTTCGAGAGAAGTACTCACTGAGCTGGCAATAATAGAATTGATCAGAAAAATAGGGATCGCAGCAGAAGGCAAAAAATACATCGTAGGCACGTGCCTTGATCTCTCGAAGGCATTCGATTGCATCAACCACAACATCTTGCTGGCGAAACTAGACCATTATGGAATACGTGGCTCGCAACTGAAATGGTTCAGAAGTTACTTATCGGAGAGAAGTCAATTTGTTAGCTGGCAGGGTACATGCTCGAGCGAAAAATTAAACCAAATTGGAGTACCTCAGGGCAGTATTTTGGGTCCATTGCCATTCATTGTCTTCATCAACGATCTCCCGAAAGTTTCAACATTCTTTGATTACATTTGCTTCGCAGATGATACTAATCTATTCAGTACAGGCAAAAACATCGATGAACTCATCTTGAAGACTAATAGTGAAATTAAAAAGGTCGTTTCATGGTTTGAATGTAATATGTTGACATTGAATAGCAGAAAAACTCAAATGATTATTTTTGGCCCAGTCCAATATTTAAACTACAAGGAGCCATATAAGATCGTAATAAATAATTCGGATATTCTCGAAAGCAAAACTGTTAAATTTTTAAGAGTAATATTGGATCAAAAATTATCGTTTCAACAACATGTTCGATATGTTTGCACAAAACTAGCAAGATCAATTGGTCTATTAAATAAAATAAAATTTTTCTTGCCTAAAAGAATTCTTAACATGCTATATAAAGCCATCTGTACTCCATATATCTCATACTGCAATACAGTCTGGTCAAGCGCCTATCCAACTACAACAAATCCAATAAGAATAATCATGAAGAGAGCGATGCGAACAATCACACTTTCCAAAGCTCAATCCCATTCACAACCGCTATTCGCCACGACAAGCAATCTGACTTTCGATCAAATGAGTACATATCACGCAACAAAATTCATCGACAAACAATTGACTGGTAAACTACCTCCTATTTTTGACGGTTATTATAAACGAACGAAGAATCAAAGGCGCATCAATTTCATCTGTTCCAACAAATCAAAAACGAAAATTTTACATCAACACATCATTTGCAGAGGACCCAGAATTTGGAATTTTTTATTAAATAAAGGATTTAATTATGACAGATCGAACATGCAGAACTTTAAATATCATTTGAAAGCATTTATTAGTTTGATTAATTAAAATCACTAGTTTTAAGAATATAAATTACATTTTTATAAAATATTTATGACATCATGTATGCTCAGTTTTATGTATGTGTGTGTGCTGACGTGTACGTAGATATTTTTATATACGTATGTGATCCTATTCTCTTCTATCTATAGCTTATATAGATAGATTCAATCAGGTATTCTATATGCAGTTTTGTATATAGAGAAAATAGACCTAACTTATTATTAGGATCAATTAGTAACATCTCAAAGCTAATACATTCCATTTAGAGAATTTGAAGTTTTTTGTGGTGCACGATGATAATATTTTTATGAACAGTTAGTAACACCGTAAATATAATATACTCCAATTAGAGAATCTGAAGTTTTTTGTGGTACTCGATAATTTTATTTTTACGAACAACTAGTAACACCGTGAACTTAATATATAACATTTAGAGATTCTGAAGTTTTTTGTTTGATGGCTGAGCCCGATGATTTTGTTTTTGTAATCAATTAGTAACATCTGAAGGTTAACATATTTCATTCAGAGATTCTGAAGTTTTTGGCTTAGGTGGCTGTGCTCGATGAGTTTTATACTAACTCCTCACAGTCAACCTGCACCTTATTTTTTTTATTGAGGTCAAATAAATTATTTCGTTTCGTTTCGTATGTATGTATGTATGTATGTATGTGTGTATGTATGTATGTATGTTAAGTAGGCATGTATGTGTATGTGTACAATGTACATGCATCCATACCTATGTACACTGTGTACATAGGTATGGATGCATGTCTCAACCGGATGAACAAACAAACGACCAGATGAACAAACGAACAAATGGATTAACAAACGAACCAATGAACAAACGAACCAACGAACAAACGAATGATGAAAAATAGCTGATGATGACTCAAATATATGACTGCTTCAAACTGACCCACCCTGGTGTCAAGTGAGGAAACGCTGAGAAAGGTGAGCTGGCTCTTCTCGGCGTCGAATATTCTCTTCGGACTGTCAGGTAGATCTGGTGGAGGTAGTAGTAGTGGTGGTGGTGGTAGGGTGGTGGTGATGGGGTGGTAGTGGTGGTGGGGTGGCGGAGGTGGTGATGTTCAGCTTCAATTCAATTTAAAATTTTTATTACGAATTAATTTGAAAGTTTTTGAGTTAACAATTTGCATCATCACCACCATCATCATCACCATCATCATCACCACCACCACCATCATCATCACCACCAGCAGCAGCATACTTTTGAGCGACTCGCCATTAATGAAGAACTGAACGTCTGGCTTGGGAATTCCCTCGGCGTGGCACGTGATCGTCGCGTTTTCATCCTCAGACGTGTTCACTTCTTCCGGTCCGCGGCCATCTTTCCAATATGGCGTCGCTGTCGTTGTGATGACAATGATGCTTTACATTACTGCTGTTATTATTATTATTATTGTTATTATTGTTGTTGTTGTTGTTATGTGTAGAAGCTTGTCACTCACGAAGTGATTGAGATGATTGTGATAGTCTGATTGCAATGACGATCACAATGATAGGAATAATGATGATGATGGTGGCGATGATGATGGTGATGATGATGATGATTGTGATAATGATAATGATGATAATAATGATGGTGATGATGATGACGACAAAACTGGTAATAATAATGATGATGATGATGGTGATGATGATAGTGATGATGATGATGATGGTGGTGATGGTGATGATGAAAACGTCACCCTCACTTACATTCAACGGTCAGCCTGACGACGACTCTCTCCTCCCCCCTCGCGTTCTTCCCCTTGCACTCATAGACCCCCTGGTCACTCACATCCACGTGACTGTGGTGGTGGTGGTGATGATGATAACGATGGTGATGATGATGCTGATAACGATGATGGTGATGATGATGATAACGATGATGATGATGATAACGATGGTGATGATGATTTTGGCAATAGTTTTGTTGATGATGGTGCTGATTATGATTGTGATGGTGTTGATGGTGAAAAATGTGATGATGATGATGATGATTATTGTGGTGATGAT